GTTATTACAATGTTGTTGACTATATTCCCCATGCTATACTTTACATCCCTGTAAGAATGGTCTCTTACCATTTGTGACAACATGGATGGACCTAGAGGGTACTGTGCTAAGCCAAATAAGTCAGACAGAGAAAGACAAATACTGTATGATTTTGCCTCTCTTTTAAAATATTCAACATACCCTGGAATCCTGAGACTATCTGGACAACATCTTCATACACCATCAGAGTGGCGGACCGTTCCGGAAGCAGGCCAAGGCTCAGTGAAGAAAACACTGTGGAAACGAAAATGGACGTAAGGGAATTCTGACATTTAAGTCAAAATACCCACTCCTGTTTTGGTATTCTCTGATTTCAAATCAATCAACAATATTTGATTTTTCATACTGTGACATAATAAGAAACATATATTTGCCCCTGGCTCCTGACATAGAGTTTCTAAATCCCTTGGAATTTCCGGAGTGATGGGGGCGATAGAAGCATCTTTTGTTCTAAGGAGGCAACTCTGGGTGGGCTCCTGGATAGGGGCTGGTCACCAGAAAGATGAAGCCATGAGTAGAAGCTTGGCTTTCAGCCCTACCTCCCATCCTCTGGGAAGGGGAGAGGGGTTGGAGATTGAATTAATGATTGATCATGCCTATGTGATGAGGTCGCCATGAAAATCCCAAAAGTATAGGGTTTGGAGAACTTCTGGGTTGGTGAACACATGTACATGGCAGAAAGGTCGTGTATCCCCAACTTCACAGGCCCCTTCCAGACCCCATGTACTTCTTCATCTGGCTGTTTATCTGTATCCTTTACAACATCCTTTATAATAAACTGGCAAATGTAACTTACATGTTTTCCTAAGTTCTGTGAACCATTATAGCAAATTATTATGCCTGAGAGGAGGTTGTGGAAACCCAATTTATAGCAGGTCAGTCCGAAGTACAGGAGACAGCCTAGGACTTACGTCTGAAGTGGACGGCAGTCTTGTGGGACCGAGCACTTACCTTTGGGGTCTGCACTGACTCCGGGTAGATAATGTTGGAGCTGAACTGAGTTCTAGGACATCCAGGCGGTGTCCAGAGAGTCGGAAAATTTATTAGTTTGAGAAGAGCAAACCCCACTCATTTGGGGTTAGAAGTGTGAATAGAAAGAAACGGTTTCTCCTTGAGGCGTGATTAGCAAGACTGTCAACATATCGCACATGTACTACAATCGCTCATATAACAACAACGGCTTACCCTGCAGTTGTCAATTATTTTTTTATTCGTTAAAAGTTTCTAGTATGAGTAAAGCATCTGAACCTCTTCATATAGGAATATGTTAAAAATCACAATGTACACACTATAAAAATATAAATATATAATGTTAGATATTAACATTAAGAAAGACTTCAAAAATATGTCCTTAGGTTATTGTGTGCCTGCTGGTAAAAGAATATCTTCCCCCGCACTTACCCCCACCATTCTGGGACCTAATAAGATGATAGAACTTGTGCTATTTTAAAATTCTTAAGTACCTCCGGGACTTTCAATTAAAAAATTCACAAAGCTTACAAGTTTCTGGGTAAAACATGAATGTATGAGAAAGCAAATAAAAATATTATGAAATAATAATCACTGGCATTAGTGAACCCTTCCTAACATGTCAGACATTATTCTAAGTGCTTTAATTTGGGTAATTTATTTAAATCTCAAAACGGCCCTATGAAATATATGTATTATTAACATGCCCAACTGACAAGTAAGGAAACAGGTTTATGGATAAGGAATTAACTTGTCCACGATCCCATGGCTGAGTCTGTCCTCAACCACCATGCTCCACGGACTGAAATTCGAAGTCCAAGCCTCTATGTCTAAAGAGGAGAAAAGTGAGCCCTAGGAAGGTAAAGTGACTTTCTGGGGAAACTATTAGGAACCAGAAACATCAAATACTAAGACTATCAATTACTTAGCACTGTTGGCTCTTAAGTAACAGTACCAGAGGGAAGCAGTGAGCTAACCTTGAATATGACCCTCTACACAGTCAATTTATTCAGCTGCCACTATGTACAAGGCCCAGGGCTAGATGTGTGGAATAGATCAACGTGGGAGGCAGAGTGTGCCTTCAAGGGTGCTACATTAGAAGGGGATGAGGACACACATGAAATTGCTGTACTACAAGCAAAATATTGCAACTGCCACAAGAAAGTCAACAAAGCACCCTGGCGCTGTGGGAAACAGCCCTGCAGATCCTCAAATGATTCAACATAGAGTTCCCATGTGCACCGGCAACGCCACTCCTAGGTATACACGCAAGGGAACTGAGAGTAAATGTTCCCACAAAAGCTTATACATGAATGTCCAGGGCAGCATTAGTCATAATAGCCCCCAAGTGGAAACAACCCAATATCCATCAACTGATGAAAAAAAAAACCAAACACACAGAGTGTGTTCTATCCACACAA